TCCGCTGCGCTTCTAACATGGGAATAGGACTAGCAGCAGCAGTAGCAGTTCTAATAATTCTAATCATTTTATCTACTTTTTGTGTTTTTGAGACAGGGTCTCTATATACAGTTCAGGCTGGCCTTGAGCTCACTCTGTAGCCCAGGCTGGTCTCGAACTCGCAACGATCCTCCTGCCTCAGCCTCCCGAGTGCTGGGATTACAGGCGTGCGCCACCACGCCCGGCTCTAATCATTTGAAATTTTGAGTTCATGTAACTCTGCCCACAGCCGTCCCTGAGCCCCGTCTTTCTCTCCAGCGGCAGGGAGAAGCAGGCACCCTGGGGACAGGCAAGCCTGGAGATGGCGCAGGCCTGGGCGCTGCACCCCCTGCAGTGGATGCTTGTCTCCAGGTGCCCGTACCCCGGGACTCAGAACACACGAGGCCTTGGATGAAGTCCTGCCCTGACGCTGCTCACAGAGAATCCCGAGGAGGCGACTTTAAACCCATGTCTCAGTTTCCCCGCCTACAGCCCTTCATCTGGGCCTCAGGGGTCTTTGCTTCAATGCACCCCCTTGGTGAAAACTCCACCGCACCCCTCCCTCTGGCTCTCCTCCTCGCTGGATTTCCCTCGTTGGCACTTGTCACACTGCCCAGTCCACTTCTGTGACTTTTGAGACAGGGTCTCACTATGTAGCTCAGGCTGGCAAATGTCTGCTCCGAGGCAGGAATTTTGAGTCTGTTTGGCGTTTTTTTTTTTTTTTTTTTTTTCCTGTACCAGGAATCGAACTCACGACCTTGCGCTTGCCAGGTAGGCGCTATGCCTCTGAGCTAGATTCCCATCCCCTGGCTTTTGTTTTTGCGGGGTTTGTGGTTTTTGTTTTGAGACAAGGTCCAACTATGTAGCCCAGGTTGGCCTCAAACTTGTGGGGATCCTCTTGCCTCAGCCTCCCAAGTGCTGTGATCACAAGCATTTGCCACCATACCCTGGCAAGGGCAGAAATTTTGCTTGATTTGCTCACTGTTATCACCCAGTGCCTGGGACACAGCAGTTTTTATTTCTTTTGCCATTTTAGCTGGGACCCAGGCAAGGCCTGGTACACACTTGGCAAGTGCTTTGCCATTAAGCTACACCCCAACACACAAATAAATACTCAGGATGCAAATATTTAAATGTATAAATAAAATATTTAATACTGACAGAAAATATCTAATTGGTTGAAAGCACCAACGTCCATCACTGGGGTGGACACCGAAAATGTTCTAAAGACAGCTGCACACCTCTGTGAACACACAAGCAACCAGGTTTTTTGTTTGTTTGTTTGTTTTTTTTTTTTTGTCTTTTTCAGACAGGGTCTCCCTATGCAGTTCAGGCTGGCCTTGAGATCACTTTGTAACCCAGGCTGGACTCAAACTTGCAAGGATCCTCCTGCCTCAGCCTCCCGAGTGCTTTGATTACAGGCATGAGCCACCATGCCCGGCTACAAGCAACCACTGAACTGTGCAGTGTGTTTACTTTATTGAATTAACTTATCCATTAATTTTGTTGAGTCTTGGGGATGACCTCATGTCCACTAGGCAAGTGGCCAGCCCTGAGCCAGGGCCCCCATCCTCCTGTCGGTTGTTTTGCTTTGTTTTCGGTCCTGGAAACCAACAGAACCAGCTGAGTTTTGGTCCCTAGTTTCCTCCGTCCCACGAGTTAAACCGGGAAGGAGGGAATGTGACAGGTGCCTCCGAAGACCTCAAAGACTCTGTGCTGAGTGACAGCACCCAGCACGAAAGAAGCAGCGCAGAGACCCCACCAGCACACTGCCACCAGCGGCTCGGCCTCAGACACTGGAGCACGGCAGTGACGGCAGGGGCAGTGGAGGATGCCGCTGAGGGGAGACAGAGGTTCAGTGTGGGAAGATAACCAAGGTGGTGGTCACGTGCATGTGCTGCTTACTGCCACTGCATAGAACTCTTAAAAATGGTGACAATGGAGCCAGGTGTGGTGGAACACGCCTGTAATCCTAGTTCTCAGGGAGGCTGAGGCAGGAGGATCGCCCTGAGTTCAAGGCCAGCCTGGGCTGCATGGCGACTTCAGTGCCAGCCTGAACATCACAGTGAGACCGTCTCAAAACTTCAAAGCTAACAAAGATGGCCCACCAGTTCCCACACAGGAGTTGCCGCTGACCCCGTACGGTATCAGGCGCGGTCCCGGCCCCACAGCTCCGGACCACGCCAGCCCATGCACGCACATAATCTCGGCGAGGGGGAGGCCTTCACTTGGGACCAGCAGAGCTGGGACTGAGGGGCGCGGTTGCGCACGTGGGAACGTCAATATAGAGCTAGGAGGGGGACGGGCACCCCTGCAGGCTCCACGTATCCGCGTCCACCCACAAACACGTCGGTGGTCTGCGGGAAAACTGGGCGCCCCTCCCCGCGGCTCCCCAGCTCCGCTTCCGCCCTTGCCTCGTCCGTCCAGCCGGCAGAGGGCGCCAACAACCTCCTCGATCCCGGCGGACCGGACTCCAGCCCTCAGCGCTCCGGCCGCGCTCCTGCCCGCCTTTTTTCCTGCGTGCCTCCGCTCGCACGTCACCTCCTCAGAGCCCTCGCTCTTGTGCCCAATGCCAAGAGAGCCAAGCGCTCTTGAGCAAGTCCTCACTGGACAAGTGCCTCACTGAAAGCTCGAGAGGGGGCAGAATCCAGCTCACACATTTGCTTTCCAAAGTCGGGGGCTAGGAAGAGGGGCGCGGCTTTGTAACTGAGGCAGAAGGGACTGGCAGCTGGACTGAGAATAAATGCCTGTGGTTTGAAGCCACCTAGCTTGTGGTATTTCGCTGCAGCAGCCCGAGGAGATGATTTCTCTTTTTGCCGCCTCGAACTTGCACCGACCCTCCTGCCTCAGCCTCCCGAATGCTGGGATTACATGTGTGTGCCACGACATCCAGTTTAAATTTCCTTCCTCGCCGGGTTAGGGTTGCGCACTCCTGTAATCCCAGCACTCGGGAGGCTGAGGCAGGAGGATGGTTGCAAGTTCGAGACCAGCGTGGGCTACAGTGAGCTCAAGGCCAGCCTGAACTGCATAGCCAGACCCTGTCTCAAAGAGACGAAGAAAGAAAGAAAGAAATTTCCTTCCTGTAGGGTCCAACGCTGCGCACATTTACAGCTGATCGTCATTATTTGTGGCTGCTGCATCTGCAAATCTGACCTGCCCACCCAGAGTTCTCTGTACCCTCCCACTTCCTCTCCAGTGCTCCACGCAGACCGCACTGTCCACATCTCTGCGCTTTTTACCCGCGAGTCGCTGTTTAAGAGGAGCTCAGTGCTGTGTGGGGCTGGGGATTTAGCTCAGCGGCAAAGCGCCTGCCTGGCAAGCGCAAGGTCGTGAGTTCGGTTCCCAGTACCGGAGAAAAAAACAAACAAAACCAACCAAACAAACAAAAAAAAGGAATGAAGTTGTGGAATCCAAGAGGAGCTCAGTGCTGTCCGGGTCCTGAGCGCCATGCTTTGAGGTGACTGGGGGGAAATGAGCTCTGTCCCAGCCCAGGCTGGGAGCTCAGTGTTGGCTGGGACAGCTGTCCCTGGTTATCCTTGGGGACGACTCCAGGACCCCTGCCCATACTGACATCCCCGCAGGTTCAAGGCCCTTATGTAACTGGCACGGTATTTACATATAACATACTCATCATGGTCTAGGTGGCTAAGCTGCCTAGGCTGGGCTCAAACTGACCATCCTCCTGCCTCAGCCTCCCAGAGTGCTGGGACCACAGCGGGGGCCACCCGCACCTGGGCCCTGTAGACTTTATCATACGAATGCTATATAAATAGGGTCACGTTGGATCATTTAGGGGACGATAACAAGAAGCCTATACACATTCAGTACAGATGCAATTTTTAAAGACTTATTTCCTGCCCCATGTCAGTTGAACCCACATATGGGGGACCCTGGAGTGTGGAGGGTCAACTGTATACACCGGAAGACTTTAAACACAAAGAAGGTGACAGGAAGAGCCACTGGTAGACGCTGCCGGGGGCCACAGGCCCCTCCTGGCCGAGGGGACTTGTAGCTGCCACCAGCCTGGATGCCTGTCTCCTTCCCGCGGCCGGGGTGGGGTAGGGCGGGCCGGAAATCCCGCAGGTGCTCATCCAGCGCCCTCCGCAGCCCCTTCCGCACCGGCCTCGACATCACCCCCACCCCTACCCCCAGCTCCCCAAAGCAAGGGACCGAAGGGGCACAAGTACAGTTTTAAAAAAAGGATTGGTTTTTTAATTTACAAGAGTTCTAAATGTACAGAATTCTTCTTTTAAAAAAATCGTTATACACAATAAATACAGTACAAAAAAATTTATCTTACAGTACTAGTTTTGTCTCCGAGATTTCAAAACGTGGCGCGGGAGGCCGGAAGGAGAGGGAAGACGGCTGGGCGGGGTGCGGGGAGACCCCGGGCCTGTGGCTGGGATTTCCAAGTGGAGGGACTGAGCGTCCCGGATCTCTCACTTGCACGCGCGCGCGCGCACACACACACACACACACACTCGCGCACACACACGGGGTCGCGGGCACAGCTGGGCAGCGCTCGCGTGGATGTGACATAGGTGGTCTGGGACCTGGCTCCCGTCCCGCCTCGGGTTTGGTTTACAGCCCGGGCCAGGAGGTGGAGGGGCCTGGCAGGACCCCCCGCACCCCTGAGCACGGTCCTGCCGACACACAGACAAGACCGGTGCCTGGGCGCGGGCGGTGGGAATACCTGTGCGCCGCCCCGGCAGACGGCAGGCTGCCGCCGGAAGCGCGAAGAGCGGCACCCCGGGAAGGCCCTCGTTTGGTGGTGGGGGGACACTCGCACTTGACAGCCCCCTCTCCTAAACCCACGCGCCCTATCGGACCCCTCAAGAACCCTCCGGGCGGGAGCGGAGGTAGGTAGGGCAGGAGGCCTTTGTGACTCAAATAACTTAGGCAAGAAGGACTGCGGGGTGCCTGGGCTGGTGTCCCCGGGGAAGGCGGCCCCAGCTCTCCCCAGGGCGGGCGGCAGGCCGCGTGTTATCTGTTCAACGTCCTGCCGGGACCCAGGCCTCCGTTGTGGCTGGAGGGCGGGAAGGCCTCGGGCCTGTGCAGGGGCGGCGGGGACGCGGGCACGGGCGCGGCGGGGTGCGGGCCCCGGCCCGGCGGCTGCTGCAGGTTCAGGATGCTGTCGATGGCGCTCTGCAGGTGCTCCGTGAGCGCGTCGTCCTGCGGGCTGTCGCTGGAGAAGCTGGCCTGGTCCATGTCTGGAGACTCGGACTTGCG